TTACCAGCACCCCAAAACCCCTGCCTATGCCACCTTCCAGTCACTACCCCAAAATGGAACCCAAATTACAACACTATGGATTAGTTTTGCTTGTTTTTGAAATTTTTACAAGCAGAATAATACAGTGTTATACTTTTGTATGTCTGGTTTATTTTGCTTAAAATTATGTTTGTGAGATTCACTCATACCGCTGATTGTTGCTATAGTTCTTTTATTGTCATTGCTCTGTAGCATTCCGTTGTCTGAATATATCACAATTTTCCCATTTTATTGTTGGTGGACACTTGAGTAGTTTTCCATTTTTGACTATTATGATTAGTGTTGTTATCAACATTGTTGTACCTGTCTTTTAGTGACTGTTTTGTTTATGTTTCTGTTGTTACATAACTGGGAGTAGAATTGCTGTGCTGTAGTATAAACATATATCAGTTTATGTAGATACTGCCAGACAGTTTTTTAGAATGATTGTACCCATTTCCACTCAACTGAAACAATGAATCTTACTCATTATGCACTGTCACAAATATTTGATATAATTTTTTTTGTTTTAGTCATACTGATATTTCTTTTCTAATCTAGTCTCAAGCATAAGTGTACTTTGAATATCCTCTGTTGTGGAATGTCTGTTAAGTCTCTTGCCCATTTCTTTATTGTATTATCTGACTTCTCCTTATTGATTTCCAGGAGTTCTTTATATATTATGGGTAAAAGTCCTTTGTCATGTATGTGTATTGTATATACTATCTCCCACTCTATAGTTTGCCCTTTCACTCTCTTAATAATATCTTTTGATTAATTTTTAAATTTTAATGTACTCCAATTTAATTTAAATAATTTCATTTGTGTTTATTGCTTCTTTGTGTCCTGCTGGAAAAATATCTGCCTACCTGCCTGCAGCATTATTATATTTGCCTATTTTTGTCTAAAAGCATTATTATTTACCTCTCATAAATAGCTCTACAGTCCTCCTGGAATTAATTTTTGTGTATGGAATGAGGCAGGAGGTTAAGATTTGTATTTTATATATGGATATCCAATTAACATGCAGTACTATATTGTCTCCATTGTAAATTAGTGACTTTCATATATGAGTCTCTTATGAGCTTTTCATTCTATTATAACTAACATTTTTGGTAAAGTCAGGCAAAGTGGTATATGTTTGGGACATTCTTAAGGTGAGAGAATTCTAGAGTTAAGTGGAATTGATTTATTTAAGATGTCCTAGGAAGCAATATTAGAACATTTATCCTTTTACTGGAAGAAATTACATATTATCAGTAATAGAACCAAGCTTAGTTGTCAAAACCCCTTACTTTCAAACATATAAAGGGTTCTTTAATTCCAAACTTTTTTTTTTTTTTCTGAAATGGGGCTTTGCTCCGTCACCCAGGCTGGAGTACAGAGGCACAATCACAGAGCTTCCTGCAGCCTCGACCTTCCAGTCTCAAGCAATTCTCTCACTTCAGCTTCCTGAGTAGCTGGTATAACACGTGTGTGCCACCATACCTGGCTAGTGTGTGTGTGTGTGTGTGTGTGTGTGTGTGTGTGTGTGTGTGTTAGAAACAGGGTCTTGCTATGTTGTCCAGGCAGGTCTTGAACTCCTGGGCTCAAGTGAGCCTCCTGCCTTAGCCTCCCAAAGTACTAGAATTATAGGCATAAACCACAACGCCCAGCCCACCTCCAAACTTTCATTTATATATCCTTATTAGTAAATGATGTTTGAACATATAACCTAATATATGTATTAAATATATGTATTAAGTTATATATTGTATATGTGGTATACATATATTACAACATTAATATGTTATTTTCATTATAAAACCCACAAAATTGAAATTGAAAAATAAATTATAAAATAGAAATAGAAATTTCAATGTTTTCTTTCTGTACCTCTGTATCAACCAAGATGGGCTAGGTTATGTGTGTTATCAACTCTCAAATTTCAGTGGCTTAAAACAACACAAGTTTATTTGTCTCATGCTCCATGTTCATTGTGGTTTGGCTTGAACACTCTTCTGTATTGTATTGTTCTCTGTATTATTCAACACTCTGGCACCCAGACTGACATAGCACCCCTCAACTGGAGGATTGCTGGTCATCAGGACAAAGGGAAAAATAATGGGGAATTAACACTTAAAGCTTTGACATAGATGTGATACATGGCACTCTGCGCACATTTCATTGGCCAAAACAAGTTACGTGTTCCTACCTAATTGCAGGGAAGAAAAATCCTAACCCTGTGCCTAGGCAGAGAAATGGACATATTTTAGACAACATTAAAAGTGGTCACCTCTCCCATGATCAGTTTTGGAGAACACGGCTCAGGATTCATGTTTGTCTAAGAAAATAAGCACACAAAGACAATTCCATTTAGTTTCTTCCATTATTTTGTGTTGTTTCTAAAACACTGCAGACATGAGTAATGTATCTACTACAACTACAGACATAGTGGCCTCTCTTGCTTAAAACTCTGTAATGGCTTCTTTAGCACTCATTATATAACTCAGACACCTTAATATGACCTACAAGCCCCACCTTTCCAGCTTCATCTCACTTCACTCACACTCCATCTCGCTCTGCTCTTCAGAGCCCTTAGACTGGCCTTTCAGTTCCTTGAAGGGAGACATTTGCTTCCTACTTCTGTCTTGAATGTTTTCTTCCCTTTCTCCTTTCGCCTGGTTACTCTGTAGCTTTAACATCAAATGTTTGTTCAAGGAAGCCCTCTCTGACTCCCAGAGTAGATCAAGTCCTCTCTGTTCTACACTCTCATAATACCCTATACTTTTCCTCCAGAGAAGCCATTCCATTTTTGCACTATTATTTGTTCAATCAATTTCTCCAATTAGAGTACAAGCTCCAAGGGGTAAGGATCAAGTCTGTTTTGCTCACCACCGTATGGTATTCCTTGTTTAGCCCAGTTACTGGCATATAATAAGGGCTCATTAAATATTGAGTTTGGTTATAGTTTTATATTTTAGGTCTGTGACATTTATCCTGTTTATAGAGAACATGTCTGAGATATTTATACAGTCCATAGAGAACAATTTGATAAGAAGATGAAAATTACACAAACTGCAAATGTACACTTGCTCTTTGTCTCTGTGTCTTAGCAGTGTAAGAGATTCCAAGATCAGAATGCTTTTCCTGTTCTCTCTGAATTGAAATATGCCCTCACATGGATTTTTCACTTTCTTTAGGTATTTTCCTTTTCTCATTTTTCGAGTAATACTTTTATGTTTTAGTTGAGAGCCCTACAGTCAGGGGATGTATCAAATTAAACATAAATGGCAGTAAAACTGCCCAAGCAGTGAGGGTATTATATAGGCATAGTTAATAAATAAGCTGTGTGAGATTAAGCTATGTTTCTCTCTAGCTTTCTGGAGATAGTACTGAATTCCCAAAACACAATGTTTTTTTTTGTTTGTTTTTGTTTTTGTTTTTGTTTTTTAATGATACTGTACATCAGCAAAAGCATATATATTAGATGCTTGGAAAATACCTTGCTATAGGTTTGTGTCTTCACTATTTGTCTTCATGTATAAGTATTGGGGGCAACTTTAGTCTTTCCTGTTTCTCTTTTCAGAAAGAATAACAAATTTTTCACCTTCTTGTCTCTGTGTTTCATTGTGGACTATCAGTACTGTTCTTCATTTAAAATGCAAATGTTCTAATAATCTACAGTCATAATCTTAGGGTAGAACTCATACAGATATTGTAATCTCTAAGCCTCTGAAAGTAGTGTTCTGCATTTTTATTCTAGAAGAGAGCCACTGCTTCTCATCAATAACAGAGTGGGATTAAAAGGAACATAAGTAAGAATATTTACAGAGCCTATTTATTCAACAGTATTATTGAATAATAATGTTTCTTAAATATCATTTTCCCTCAATATATATGGGGGATTGGTTCCAGAACCATCCTCCCGCCACCACTGCATATTCCAAACTCCATGCATACTCAACTCTCACAGTAGCTTCTAGGGCATGAACCATTCAGGTACTTGGGTTTTGTAGCCTGCAAATACTATGTTTTTATCTGTTGTTGGTTGGGAAAAAAATCACATATAAATGGATGCTCCCTACCACCGACAGATCCAACTCACATTATTCAAGGGTTAGCTGTATCTATTTAGTAGCGGAAGCTAGGGAAACTTAGAAAGAGAATGACATTTTTCTGTGAAACTTAAGTGTGTTTCAAACAATAGCATCTGAGTTTTAGTCTTTTGTTAGCACTGTCAATGTTCTCAACTATAGAATGTGGATGATAAAATAACCATCTCATAAAGTTCTTGTGAGGGGTAAATAAGATAGTACATTTAAAGTACTTATCCTAGTACCTGGCGTATAACAAACACTTAATATATTTTAGATTTACTATGAGACTTTGTCCAAAGTTAACCTCCTAGCTATTTATTTTCCTCTGTTCCTCCCCTCTTATTTTTCTCCAAATTGTCATCAGAGATAAATTTCTAAAACACAAATCTGTTTGTATAACTCTACTTCTTTGATACCATCTTTTTGGTTTTAAAACCCTTTAGTGATTTTCTGTTGTCCGAAGAGAAATGCCTCAAATACGAGGATGGTATTTAGCACTTTCCACATGACCCTAACCTTCCTTCCCAAACCATCTTCTGCCTTGACCACCCACTGCGTTGTAGCCCAAACAAGCCACACAGTTTTCTTTTGCTACCTTGGCTTGTTGTCTTCCTTCTGTCTAGAATTTCTGCTATAGGCCTCACTTCCTCTTCTTTGTAGGCAAAATTTTTGGTTCCTGTTTATTCATCTCTTTTTAGCATTTATTATGATATCAAAGGTAATTCCATATGTCTTGCTATCTTACTAGCTTGTGAGTTCCTTCAGAGCAGAGGCTATAATTTATTCATCATTTAGATAACATTGATGAGTGCCACTGGAACTCAGTAGGCACTCAGTAAAAACTTGTTCAAATAATATATTAATATTTGGTATAATTTTGATTTCAGTGTGTTTTTATTCTAGGTCCTTGGCCTTATCCAAAACATGAGTGTTTTCCAGTGTCCAAAATGTAAACACAAAACTCATATTTTTGGTGCCGATGGTGCAAGAAAACTAGCACAGACCCTCGGCCTTGAAGTTCTAGGTAAGACTGTGGGATGTTCTTGAAGAAGAAATGGCAGAAGGGAAAGTGGGGATGAGGCTTGGTGATCAAGAGTATCTCAGAAAATGATGAGTTGCTTTTGGCTTCATGTTTTAAATTTATATAGCACAGTTCTATGTGTTAACTTTTCTTTGGCTTTTTTGAATAAATTTGATCTGTCAACTATGATAATAATTTCTATTTTAAATAAAAGCTGTCTATAACTTAAATTTGAGAAGAGAGTTTTGTTGTCCAACTACTGTAATTTGAAGCCATATTTTAAATGATGGTCATTAGTGTGCTGTTTGCTAAGTCAGGTGAATAGCTGTTCAGTATGTTGTAAAAACCTCTAGAAGTATTCATTCTTAGTGCATATATAAAAATGGCTTTCTGATTAATTCTGTATTTGTTAGTCTTTCTGCTTTAGAATGAAAATTTACTGTCAATGACAATGACTGAATTTACTGTTTTCTGTAATTTTTAATGTGTTTGATATGTCTATAAAATACGGCTATGTCTATAAAATACCTGAAATTTACATTGTACACACTGTTCCACTGTTCATGTCACTCAATTGAAGAGTTCATTAGTGCTATGAGGAGAACTAAAATTATGTGTTAAATGAGCAAAACACAGGTTTTGGATAAAATATGATGTTTCAAAAATCCACAGACAATTTAACAGACTTTTTAGAAAACATTGTTTTGATATTCTAATTGTGAATGAGTTTCTGTTCTTGTCAAAGACAGATGTTAGATTCTGAATAAGGAAGGCATAGAGTGAATTATTAGACTTAGGTAGTTAAAAATTAAGATCCCTTAGAGATCAAGGAATTTCAAAGCATTCTCTGTTATAATTAAGTTTCTAAAAGTTGATGTTAAATGTATTATTGTTATGCATTTGCACTATAGCAGCCACTCCAATACCAGGTGAATACAAATGATATATTTTGATACATTGCTATAATTATGGCCAGAAATTATATTCTGTAACTGTTTTTTATTTAACCCAGAAAGTTCGATTTTCCAAATCTGCATAATAGCAGATTGACATTTACTTATATAATAAAATAAATGTATAATTATAATGTCATTATTGAATTATACTGACAACACTGTAATTTCCTAACTTACAAATGAGCTGTACAATTTCATTTCAGTTACTTACAATTAGAAACATTTCATTGAGAAACAATGGTATATATGGAAGTTACATTTTAACCAACAGCTCACAAATTTAAATTATGGTAAAAATGCATCAGAAACACTGATTATTGATCACAAAAATTGGACGTTGCCCTAGACTGCTATTTCTGACAGTGTTAGGGGAAAAATAATTTAGAGTTCCTCATTAGGGCCCATCTCCTTCTTTTAATGTAGTCATGGGTCCCATGGTGTCTCCCGTGAGGTAGAGCAGGGTTTCATTTATGAAGAGGTTGGAACTGGGAATGAGAAACTGAAATCGGGAAAAAGCTGTTTCAGCTTTGGCCTCTTGGGCCAGTTGAACCTATTGAGAACCATTATTTGTCCTTTACTGACTCCCTGGCAGGCTTTTAATTCAGTGGGTTGAGCTCTTCAGAATCTTATCTATATTTACCTACAGGGACGGTTTATGCATAGTTGTTAAGGTCTCAGACCGCCTCAGGGAAAATCCTTTAACCTATAATAGGTCTGAAATGTTCCCTCATTTCTTTCAGATTCAGCCCCTCAAAGATACTTCTCAGGCTCAGACTTCTCATCACTCACTTTTAGTTTTTAAAAATCCATGTCTAGATAACAACCATTAGACCATGACCACTCTTACCATGCCACCTATTTTCTAACAAGATTTTCCCCTGCTTGGGCTAATCTTCTGTGTCTGTAGGTAGGATTGTAAGTATCTGGAGAGCAGAAATGATGTCAATGCATGGCTATATAAAGGAGAAGGTTTTACTCTTTTTCCTTCCATTTCTGCAGTAAGAAATCATTCATAATTCTTTACTAGAATGACAGTTCATAAATTGAGACAAAAAACTTCATTTCTAAGCATTTTCTATCACATTTTTTCTGCCTGCTCCTGTGACCGTGTCCTACAGTCTTAAGTTGATTTAAAGAATAGGAATCGAATTTACTGAAATCCAATCCTTAACTGGCTACTGAAACATCATGTATTTGTCATTTGGCCATTCGATATTGAGGAGAGACTTACAGTTTAAGATCACAAAGGTTGACAAGAGAAGAATGAAATAACATCTCCTTTTCCATGTACTTCATAGTATATATTGCAATATTTTTATAACATATACTTCTTTTGCATTATTTACATTGCCTGACATGGTGCTGAATGCCTTACTTGAATAAAACACCACATACACATATGTTTTAATAACCTTTGCATGGATTTGGAGTGGTTCTGGGAATGCCTAGTACGATGGCAAGTCAACTTTTCTACTTAAGACCCCATTCCCTTTTAAATCTCAGTCTTGATAAACTTCATTTGGGGTAGTGTGCTGGATAGAGTATATTGGATGAGGGGTCAGAATTTAGATCAGCTCCTAAATTCCACTGCCTGATAGTAATATGACCTCAGGAAAACACACCTCTCCTACCTCCATTTGCATTTTGGAGGTTCTTACTGTAAACTTGCTAAGATCTCACCAAGCTCCTAAGTTATATATAGTGCTACATAGGCTAGTAAATAACAAGAGAAAAAAATTCTGTCTGATAAAGAGAAGGATAGTTGAGATAACAGGTCTGGCCTACTTTTAACCAGTTCTTTGTGCTTACTCCATTTGCCAACATCAGGAAGGTTATTTTATTGTACTTTTTTGGACTTCTTTTCCTTGTCATATTTTTCTCTTCTGTTTCCTCTTATTATGTGGCATGATGTGTCTATATCACATATTAATGGGAGAAATCATTTGCAAATGTCTTCTAATCCATTGCTTTCTTGGAGACTTCCAGCAAAGAATAAATCAGAGGCCTCATCCATTAATGGGCTGCCACAGAGGTTTCCTATATTCATATACAATCACTGTACTTCCCTAAAATAGAGTATTTTGTTTGTAATTCCCATTTGAAATTTCCTTTACAGAGATTTAGCAATTAGAAGTTAGTCAATTTGAATCAATTTAGTTCAGATTTTGTTTCTTTCCATAGTTCAAATAGTGAGATGCAAAAAGCCTGTATAACCTTTTCTGGTTCTAATGGATGTCTGCTGGGCTCTTTTAGGAGACATTCCCTTACACCTTAACATAAGGGAAGCTTCAGATACAGGCCAGCCAATTGTGTTTTCACAGCCTGAAAGTGATGAGGTAAGTTCCGTTTTTAGATATGTATTTTTATTTCTTTTTATATACTTTCTGATATATAGGAAGAAAGTTGGGAAGATTAAGTCTGTATATTTGCACTGCATATATATTTAAATAACGATTAACTTGTCCAAAGCATCTTTAGGTTACTGTTATGTATAGTAACCTGCCAGTGCTGGCTCTAAATTATCAGCTGAACAAGTTTACCTGCAGAGAATCATCACCCAAACAGTTTTCTCATGAAAAGCATGAACAATGAAAGTTTATAAAATTCTTATCTTGCTGGCTAGCATATGAGTGCACAAGTTTATTAAATTTCAGTATTAGAAGTTCAACTTATTGGAGAAGAAAGCCTAATCAAGTATTTAATTTTTTTATAGGGTAATTGTGTAAACCATTAGAGGTGGGATTTTTTTTTCCTTTTTTTTTTTTTTTTCAAGACAGGATTTTGCTCTGCCACCCAGGCTGGAGTACAGTTGTGCAATCCTGCCCACTGCACCCTTGACTTCCCAAGCTCAAGCTGTCTTCCCATCTCAGCCTCCTCCTCCCAAATAGCTAGGACCACAGGTGCACACCACCATGCCCTGGTAAATTGATTTTATTTTTGTGTGTGTGGAGACAGGGTCTCACTATGTATTTAGGGTGGTCTCAAACTCCTAGACTCAAGTGTTCCTTGTGTCTTGGCCTCCCGAAGTGCTGGGATTATAGGCATGAGCCACCATGCATAGCCTAGAGATGAGATTTTCATTGCATTTATTTTAATAAATATGATTGGGAAGGTGAGGTGAAAAGACTAGTAGTGTTTCATTAGCCAACATCATTAGAGATATAGCTGATAGATTTTCAAAATTACTGCCACATAAAATTTTTAAGCATAAAATATTTTACTTTTTTAAAAAATAGAAATAAATCAATCATCTAATTTTTTCATTCCTAAATAACACTTGCTATTTAACTTAGAAACTGAATCATCATCTGGTGCATCCGTTTTATGTTGTTCCTTTGTTGAACAACCCCAATCAATCTTCTAATAGTTTTTCTTTTTCTTAACCAATGGGTACAACTTTACAGTACTGGTATTTTTGTCCAAACGTAACTAGTGCTCTTTATATTCTAGTCTGCTTCCTTTAATCTTCTGTGAATTGGAAAATAAAAGAGCCAAGTTTGGTTAGAGCTGTAAAGTAAGAGTAAATGAACAGGAATCTTGGATAAGTGAAGTATATTTACTTAGAGTGATCTCTTTCCTGGGTTTAGAGGTCCTTTCCTTTTCTTAAGGGTAAGCAGCTATGGTACAGGTGATTGTGTTGCTAGCAATATGATCTCTGAGTAAATACAGTTTAACAGTTACCATTGTTTTTCTCTTTTTTGTCTTTTACTTATTAAATGTTAAATTTCCTTTTCAGTCTTTCTCAGCAATTTTTCAGATGAGCAAGAAACCATAATCCTTTAACATCTTCACAATTAAAATCTGCCAATCCCAACTGCCATAACTGTGCTTTACTTTATGCAATATATAAAAATGTTTTATGAAAATCGAGGGTTTTTTGGTTTTAATTACACACTTTTAAGTGCCTCCTGAGAACAGACTATTTAAAGACATTCCACAGCGATTCCTAGTGAATAGGAATAATTACTTACCAGTGTATTTCAATTAAGAGTTTAGATTTTATTATTTTTTTTCACCTGTTCATTATTTTTTCTTTGAAAGTCTCCAGGAGAACTATTTTACTGAAGTTAAAGGAATGTAATGTAATAGAGAACATATAGCAACCATCCAAAGATAATATGATATAATACTCTAAATAGCTTTGTTAGATTCTCAAAAGGGATCTCTACATGGAAGGAAAAGCACTAAACCTGAGTCATTATGGGATACCAAGTTTGCTACTTCCTAAGTGTGACCTAAAGCAAGTTTTCTAACCTCTCTGAACCTTTCTCTCCATCTATAAATTGATGTCATAATGAGGAAGGTGAGGAAGAATAAATGAAATAGTAATGTGGAAATATCTTGAAAAATCCCAAGTAGAATACAACTGTTTTTATTTTCTGAAACTTCCTGTATAAGATGTCGTGATGCTAAATGTCTCTCCTCTTCCCTTTGTTAAAGAGCTGAGTCCACTTAATGTACTTGACATGGTATCAAGCAAATATCACTCTTTGATGTTATTTAAAAATCAGGGTAGCAGAATTTGAATCATGGAAGCAGAATTTTCAGCTTCAACATCAAAGACATTACCTCCTAGAAACTAAGAAGCTATGATTGAGGCCTAGGATCACAATCCTTTGGTTAGTCTTGTGATGAATTTTGCCTCCTGAAAGCCTTTTTCCCTTTCCCCCATGAACTCAAATGGAAATATGCTCTTAGAAACTAGTCACAACGCTCTCACCAGATTCTGTTGCATTCATAGAAGCTTAATGCCTATTCTCTGTGCATGTCTTCATTTACAGAATGAAGAAAGTGTTTATTGCCAACGTGATAAAACTTCTGCAGGAGTTAGTGGGGCAAAACCTATAATATTATTTGTTAATTATTAGCACATTTTTTTTCTGTGAGGCAGGATCTTGCTGTATCACCCAGGTTGAAATGCAAGTGGCACAATCTTGGCTTACTGTAGCCTCTACCTTTTAGGCTCAAGCAATCCTCCCATCTTATTTACAGGTGCACACCACTACATCCAGCTGATTTTTTGTATTTTTGGTACAGATGGGTTTTAACCACGTTGCCTAGGCTGGTGCCAAACTCCTGAGCTCAGGAGATTCACCTGCCTTGGCTTCCCAACGTGCTGGGATTACAGGCATGAGCCACCACACCTGGCCTAGACTGATACTTTTTATTGTTTACTTTTAGGGGTTGACCCATAGGCACAATTATAAATCAGTAAAAGTTTAATTATTAGCTTTTTATCTTTAGTTCTTACTCCACCTTCTCCATATTCTATCACTCCCTCCTCTCAACACCAGGTGTTAGGGCTCTTATTCTCTGCCCACAAAATCCTTTAGAATTATACATTGAGGATTTATCTCTCCCAGTAACATTTAACTTTCAGAAAAGGCAAACACTAAAAAGGTAGTAATTAATCTAAAAGTATGAATTATGGTGAATTTAAGATATCATTGGAAATGTTAGGAGAGCTCATAGTACTAATTAAAAAGTACTAATAGTCTGCTGCCTACTCAATGAGCAAAACCTTACATGTACACTGCTTAGGAAAGGCGAGTAAGAGTCCAAATTTGAGTAGTGTAAAATAGCCAGAGAAAGCAATAGAAGAGGGAAGAGAAGGTGATACTTAGAATTCAGAACCCTTAATTTCAATAACATTGTCTCATGCTGGTATGATTAATATTGTTGATTCAATTAAAACTGCATTTTGCTCTTGATTAAGACCAGAATACAAGGAGTGAACCTGTGATTAGCTGATAACATTGTGGTTTTGTTCTTTTTATCAAGTAAGAGTATAAGCTACAGAAAGATGTGCTATGATATTCCTGGTAAAGACTTTCAAATATAAGTGAGAACTTTATTATTTTATAATTTCCAAGTTGTCACCTCAAAATCTTAATATGAAATGACTGTGTATGATAAATTAGGACTTCAAATATTTAAAAACAAAGACAAAGGAAAAAAATCTTTGTTCACTTTGGTTACCGTTTATTTCTTGTTGCTAGTTAATGGCATAGCAGACAATAGAGTCCACCTGTATTATGTGGGCCTCTAGATGACCTAAAAAAAAGATCTTGAATAGGAGAAAAGGGTTAGTCTGTGTAGAGTTGATGAAAGAAGAGAATATTAATAGTTTGAGTTTTCTCAGTTTTGTCTTATATGATGTGTGTGTGTTACTTGTTTGCTAGTTATGGATTAAACAAAAGGATTTGATTTAAATATTCTTCAGGTGGGAACAGTGCCCAAAGGAGATGTTCATATGAGCTCTTCAATGAGATTGTAAATTTATTGAGAGTATAATGATAATAGCAGCTACAAATATTTATTATATGCTTCCTCTGTGCCAACAGTTCACATGCCATATTCTCACTTAATAATCCCCAAATGCTTTGAGCTAGATATAATTATTATAACCAGTTTAGAGATATGGAAACTGATCCTAGAAGAGTTAAGTAACTTTCCCAAAGCCTCACAGCTGATAAGTAATAAAGCCAAGATTCTAAACCATGCCTGTCTGATTTCAAGGCCCCAACTCTTCACCAATGAACTGTTCTGCCTCTCTTTTACATCATTACATCCCATAGATTTCCCATCATGATGCCTTGCATGCAGTAAGAACCAAAGCCTATTTGTTGAAATAATACTGCCCTGGCTAAAAAATTTAGTCTCAACAGTTTTTGAGAAATTGAAACTGTTAAACTAAGCACTTTTAGTAGTTTCTCAGCAACTGACAATCTATTACTTTGAATGTGATATATTAGAATTCTAAGTTTGGAGATAGTTCATTAAAAAGGAAAGGTTAAATGTAGCCAATTTGATTGCTCTGGAATCATTCAGTATTTTTTATATTCTGATAGGTTTATGTCTCTAATTTAATGTAGATAAGTACTAAAAGATTACAGAATGATGGCCTTGCCTCATCTTGCTTTAGTGAACTTTAAATTATCATCACAAAATATTAAGCATAAGTACCTAGAAAATCTACTAGGAGATAAAAGGTATGTATAAAGATATATGGGTGAAAATCAGCACATTTGATTTGAGAGAAACCTTTCTTTATAAGTAGATAATATTTCCATATATAAACAAAAACTATTGTTTCTATTAACTACAGCAGAGAAGAAGCCATTTTTAGACTATGCTTTATGATTATAATTACTTGTATTTTGGGTTTACTATTTAACATTTGGTGTAGTGGAATAAGCTGAACTTTAGAGTCAGTTGGAGCCAGGTTTGAATGTTTTCTAGCCTGACTTCATGACCTTGTGCAAACAACTCCTGGTTTCATCATTTAAGTTGAGCTGATGATGCTTGTTTTACATGTTTAAGTTGAGGTTATTTATATGAAATACTTGGTATATACTAGGTTCTCAATAAAAAAATATATAAAGCCTTATTTGTGTTTTTAGAGTTTTTGGAGGACTCTCTTAAATTGACTTGTAATACTTTTCTGGTAAAATAAATCATGATTTAGCTGTTAGGGCTCAAGCATAGTCTTTAAAAAATGAAGACATGTGAAACACTCTTAAAGTGTAAAACATACTTCATCAAGTCAGGGCAAATAGACCACAAATATCTCTTTTTACTGTGTAGAATCTGGGAACTGGTCAGCTTAGGTTCAAAGCCCAGCTGATCTCCTACTAGCTATAATGGTTTGGACAAAATTATATACCTTTCTGGATGTTTCCTTATCTATAAAGTGGAGATAATGATAGATTCACCACCAGAGTAACTGTGAAGATAAATAACACTTGGCAAATATTAAGTACTCAGTAAATCTTAGCTATTATCATTATTAGTTGTGTATAAATATGTAACTGTGAGTATATTATTTTATTTGTTTTCATGCTGCTGATAAAGATATACCAGAGACTGGGCCATTTACAAAAGAAAGACGTTTATTGGACTTACAGGTCCATGTGGCTAGGGAGCCCTCACAATCATGGAGGAAGGTGAAAGGCAAGGAGGAACAAGTCACATCTTCTATGGATGGTGGCAGGCAAAAAGAGAGCTTGTGCAGGGAGATTCCCTTTTTTAAAGCTATCAGATTTTATGAGATTTACTATCATGAGAACAGCATGGGAAAGACTTACCCTCATGAGTCAGTCACCTCCCACCAGGTTTTTCCCATGACACATGGGAAATGTGGGAGCTATAATTCAAGATGAGATTTGAGTGGGGACACAGCCAAACCATATCATTCCACCTAGCCCCTCCTAAATCACATGTCCTCACATTTCAAAACCAATCATACCTTCCCATCAGTTCCCAAAAGTCTTAACTCATTTCAGCATTAACTCAAATGTTCACAGTCCAAAGTCTCCTTTGAGACAAGGCAAGTCCCTTTGGCCTATGAGCCTGTAAGATCAAAAGCAAGTTAGTTACTTCCTAGATACAATGGGGGTACAGGCATTGGATAAATACAGCTGTTCTAAATGAGAGAAAGTGGCCAAAACAAAAAGGCTACAGGCCCCATACAAGTCTGAAATCGGTGGGGCAGTCAAGTCTTAAAGCTCCAAAATTATCTCCTTTAACTCCATGTCTCACTAGGTCATGCTGATGCAAGAGGAAGGTTCCCATAGTCTTGGGCAGCTTTGCCACTGTGGCTTTGCAGGGTATAGTCTCCTTCTCGGCTGCTTTTATGGGCTGGCATTGAGTGTCTGCAGCTTCTCCAGGCACATGGTGCAAGTTGTCAGTGGATCTACCATTGTCAGGACTGGAGGATGATGGCTGTCTACTCACAGCTGTACTAGGCAGTGCCTCAGTAGGGACTCTGTGTGGGAGCTCTGACCCCACATTTCCCTTCCGCACTGCCCTAGCAGAGGTTCTTCATGAGGACCCTGCTCCTACAGCAAACTTCTTCCTGGACATCCAGGTGTTTCCATACATCTGAAATCTATGTGGAGGTTCCCAAACCACAATTCTTGACTTCTTTGCACCCGCAGGCTCAACCCCATGTGGTAGCTGCCAAGGCTTGAGCCTTGCTCCCTCTGAAGCCATGGCCTGAGCTCTACATTGTCCCCTTTCAGCCATGGCTGGAGCAGCTGGGACACAGGGCGCCAATTCCCTAGGGGGCACACAACACAGGGACCCTGGGCCCAGCCCACAAAATTATATTTTCCTCCTAGGCCTCTAGACTTGTGATGGGAGAGGCTGCCAAGAAAACCTCCGACATGTCCTGGAGACATTTTCCTCATTGTCTTGGGGATTAACATTCTGCTCCTCGTTACTTATGCAAATTTCTGCAGCAGGCTTGAATTTCTCCTCAAAATGGGATTTTCTATTCCTGTGCATTGTCGGGCTACAAATTTTCTGAACTTTTATGCTGTTTCCCTTATAAAACTGAATGCCTTTCACAGCACCCCAGTCACCTCTTGAATGCTGTATTGCTTAGAAATTTCTTCTGTCAGATACTCTAAATCTTCTCTCTCAAGTTCAAAGTTCCACCAATCTCTAGGGCAGGGGGAAAATGCCCCCAGTCTCTTTGCTAACGTGTAACAAGAGTCACCTTTGCCCCAGTTCCCAACAACTTCCTCATCTCATCTGAGACCATCTCAGCCTGGACCTTATTGTTCATATCACTATCAGTATTTTTGTCAAAGCCACTCAACAAGTCTCTGGGAAGTTCCAAACTTTTCCACATTTTCGTGTCTTCTTCTGAGCCCTCCAAACTGTTCCAACCACTGCCTGTTACACAGTCCCAAAGTTGCTTCCACATTGTCAGGTGTCTTTTCAGCAATGCCTCACTCTACTAGTACAAATTTACTCTATTAGTTTGTTTTCACACTGCTGATAAAGACATACCAGAGACTGGGCAGGTTACAAAAGAAAGAGGTTTATTGGACTTATAGTTCTATGTGGCTGGGGAGGCCTCACAATCATGGAGGAAGGTGAAAGGCAAGGAAGAACAAGTCACGTCTTTCATGGATGGTGGCAGGCAAAAAGTGGGCTTGTGCAGGAAGACTCTCGTTTTTAAAGCTATCAGATCAAGTGAGACTTATTATCACAAGACCAGCACAGGAAAGAACCACCCCCATGATTCAGTCACCTTTCACCAGGTTTCTTCCAGAGCACATAAGAATTATGGGAGTTACAGTTCAAGATAAGATTTGAGTGGAGACACTGAGAAACCATATCAATTATCAATGTAGAAATTAATGGTTTTAGACAATTTTACTATTGTGTTCTACAGTTACTTTTTATGAACAAGGTAGAGGATATAGGTAATTTTGTGTTAGATTTATTTAAAGGAACTCTTAAAATGCAAATATCATGACCATGCAAGCATTAGGTTAGCTTGTGGCCCACTCCATGGCTTAAGAGCTGCTCTTAGAGTCCCATGGCACTTGGGATCCCAGACAATAAGAGGTTAACAGTGGAACCAGGATTTTTTGCATGATATCCAAAATTTACCAGGTGGAAGAGTCTATAGGTGCTTGATGCTGGTGTTGCACACCATTCTTAAGGAGATGAAGAAAATGCTTTCCTAAAATAAACTGTAGCATGATAATACATAGTGTTCCTTAAAAATGAATAACAGCTCTTATGCTAAAGAAGTTTTGGCAGTATCTAACTCAAGATATCAATTTTTCAGAGGAGAAAGGTGTAATTTCTCTGCAACCAGACTAGGTTGCTTGTTTGCTGACACCAGTATTAGAGTTTGAAAAACAGTACTTGCTGGTATTAAATATTACTTCAGAGGGCCATCTTCCAAATAATTCCCCTCCAAGTAATCTAAATTCTTTATTTCTTGTGTCACCTGCAATGTATACAGCATTATCTTCTCAATACTAAATTTCCTCAGCTCACTCAGCCTTTTTGCCATCAAATACAGTGGGCCTCTATGACATACAGTTGATGAGTCATTCAGTGTCTGCTGAAGAGAAATACAGAACAAACAAATCTGTTCTTTTCCAGGCCAAAGCTTACTTGAGGATTGCTGTGGAAGTGGTAAGAAGATTGCCCTCACCTTCGGAGTGATTCCCCAAGTGTCCTGGAAATTTGCCTGGTACTAACATTAAGAAGACCTTTCGAAATCAGCAATGTGGTGATGGAACCTACAGAAATAATATAAATCATAATTGTTTTATTTCTAAGGAAATAACGTCTTCAGATCTGATTTGCTAAGCTGTGAGTCAAAAAAGTTTTATGTTTCAATGTTAACTGCTACATTTAGAAATTTTTTGAAAGCTGGTGTATACCACCTGCACAGAACTGCATTTTATTTTATTGCATTACCCCTTTAGGAATCATGGGTTTATGATGTTACAAGACCATTTTGGGAGGGAACTATATACTGTTTACAGGACCACAGAGTTAGTAATTTAAGTGATATACTAAATTTGTGTATGGGCATAAGTATTATACCTCTCCATCAGGCAATTTGGACTGTCTTTAAATCCTGTTTTTAGTACTTTCTTGGACATGTTCTTAATACGGACCTTTGCTTCTCCATCTGAATCACACCATCCCCCAGTCTTAATGAGTCTCAGTCTCCAGGGATAGGGTCTGAACATACATATTTTTAATAAGAACATGATGTTGATGATGATTCTGATTATGATGGCAGTAATAATAATAGCTAACATTTAACAAGTGCTTTCTACATATCCTTATAACTAATATTTCATTTGTGTGAGTGGGTACTATTATCTCTATTTTACAGACAAGTAATTTGAGGTATAAGAAGGTTGAGTGTCTTGCTGAGGGTTAATATATCTAGAAAGTAATAGAGCTTAGATTTGAACTTGAGTTCAAAAGGATATTAGATTCATCCTTTTGTACACCAATGTGCTTTTGTTAATTCAAAAAAGGCAGGTGGAATGCAGTATTTAGCATTTCCTCAAACGTTTTTGGCCATGAAATCCACCCCCGCTCCCCACCCACTGCCTTTTAAGAGCATTTCATGGAGTTCACATTTCAAATAACACATTTTGGAAAACATTTATCTTGCCTAATTGAAACTCAAAGAGAGATAATCCATGACTTTTCAGAGTCAGGTAGCAGATAATTTTAAATCCACAAGTACTGGTCAGAGTGAGCCGTAAGTTAATTGGCATTTATAAAGAAGTGGTCTGTCACTTTTGGCAAATGCTTTGACATCCCTTGTTCTATAGTTGTTAGCCAGAAAATTAGGTACAGAGTTTCACATTATTATAAGTATGTTTTCACACAAAAATATAGACATTGATGCTTATTGCAACTTTATGTGTAATAACCAAAAACAACCCAGATTTTCTTCATTGGGAATGGTTAAACAAACCATGGTACATTCATACTATGAATATTACTCAGCAGTAAAAAAGAACAAACTGTGGGTACATGCAGCAACCTAAATGAATTCTAGAGAATTATGCTGAGTGAAAAAAGCCAGTCTCAAAAGGTTATGTACCAAAAGATTCCATTTATATGACATTCTTGAAGTGACATAATTATAGAAATGGAGAACAGATTAGTTATGGCCATGTTAAGGAGGTGGTGAAAATGGGAGAGAATTGGGTGTGGCTGTGAGAAACATGAGGGATCCTCATGATGATGGAAATGTTCTATATCACAGCTATCAATGCCACTATCGCGGTTGTGATACTGTGCTATAGTTTTACAAGATGTTACCATTGGGGGAAATTGGATGAAGAGCACATGAAATCTCTGTATCATTTCTTAAAACTGCATATTATTCTACAATTATCTGAAAATAAAAATAAAAGTTAAAAGAACACATATTGCTATATATGAACTGAAATTTACTGGACCATATACTAATTAATATCATGAATAAAATTATTTGTGGACACACTGTAATCATCATATCACTCTGAGATGGAAGTAATGACTTAATGTTTCAGATATTTATTTGTGTGTTTATTGTCTTTTGAGGAAGAGGAAAATGTAGATGATCATTGAGCACTTGTGAATACAAAAAATGCTTAAACCAAACTTTATCCAGAAAAAGAATGACTGCAAGTTGTATGTTATCTTTTAATATATATCATGGAGAAATGGGTAAGATAGTCTTTACTCATGAATATGTGACTGAGAGAAGATCCACATATAAAATTCCCTGCCCTCTTCTCCTTCACTTGACTGGTGTCTGCAGATGCTTCCAGGAAGTCTGCAGAAACAAATGGTGGTTGGTGTATGTATGCAAGTTTAGATGTGGAGGAAGAAAAAGTGGCTATAAAAGAAAAACTAAGCTTATTCTAAAATTTTGCCTATGGCAGTCTTCATTAGGCTTCAAAGAGCCAACTCCAAAGGTAGACTGAAGTACAGGTAGTTTGCCTGCTTGTTAAGGGGTAATATTTATTGTCTGTTCTTCACATCTCAATAGAGTGTAATTAAAAGACTGATATTTTGAAAAGATGAACAAAACTGACAAACTTCTAGCCAGGCTCATTAAGAAAAGAGAGAAAGAAAGATGACATATATCAACAAATCAGGAATGAAAAAGAGACATCACTACATTCATGAAAAGGACAATAAGAATGATTATAAACAACTTTATGCCCATGAAATTGAAGACTTAGATAAAATAGACAAAAGCTTTGAAAGAAACTACCAAAGTTCACTCAAGGAATAGATAACCTAAGTAGTCATAAATTACTTTTAAAAATATAATTTGTGTTAAGAACCAACAAAGGGCCGGACGCGGTGGCTCAAGCCTGTAATCCCAGCACTTTGGGAGGCCGAGGCGGGTGGATCACAAGGTCAAGAGATCAAGACCATCCTGGTCAACATGGTGAAACCCCGTCTCTACTAAAAATACAAAAAGTTAGCTGGGCATGGTAGTGCGTGTCTGTAATCCCAGCTACTCAGGAGGCTGAGGCAGGAGAATTGCTTGAACCCAGGAGGTGGAGGTTGCGGTGAGCTGAGATCGTGCCATTGCACTCCAGCCTGGGTAACAAGAGCAAAACTCCATCTCAAAAAAAAAAAAAAAAAAAAAGAACCAACAAAGAAAACTCCAGCCCCAGATACCTTTACTGTCAAAACCTACCCAACATTGAAGGAAGGAGTAATCCAAGTTCTACACAAACTTCCAGAAAATAGGAGGCGCTTTCCAACTCATTTTGTGAAGTCAGCATTACCCTAATACCCAAACAAAAGACAATACAAGAAAAGAAGAGTACAGACAAATGTTTCTCATAAACATAGACACAAAATTCTTCAATAAATCTTACTTAATTGAATTCAGCATTATATAAAAAGGATAGCATGTATGACTATGAGGTCATTTTCCTGGGAATGCAAATGCAAGGTTGGTTCAACATTTGAACACCAATGTATGGCAGATTCAAGAAGAAACAGTAAAGAAAAACAGACTAAAGAAAAACCATGTTTATTTGAAATAGAAAATGCATATAACAGAATTGAACATTCATTTGTGATAAGAATTATCAGCAAACTGGAAATAGAAAACAACTTTTTCAGCCTAATAAAACTCATCTACAAAAAACTACAGCTAACATCATTGCTAATGGTGAAAGACCCACTGCAAGGCTATCCAAGCTCACCATTTTATTTATTATAATACCTAAGATCTTTCCTAGTGCAATAGAAAAAGAAATAAAGTCATATAGATTAGTAAGGAAGAAACAAAACCATCTCTGTTCACAAACAAATTGTCTATGGAGAACATTCCAAATAATATACAAAAAAGCAACTAGAACTAATACGTGTATTTAACAGAGTTGCAGTATGTAAGGTTGACATACAAAACCATTTTTACTTCTGTATACTAGCAACAATCAATTAGAAATGAATGAAAAAAGTTCAATTTATAATAGCATCCCCCAAACCATAAAATATTTACATATAAATATAATAAGGTGTAAGAGATTTGTTATGCTGACAACTACAAAATACTAATGAAAGAAAACATTTAGGTGGCAAGACTTACCATGTTAAAGGTTTGAAGACTCAACATGTTTAAAATATCTAATCTCCCCAAACTGATCTATATCCAATGTGATCCCTGTCAAAATCCAACAAGACTGTTATTGAAATTGACAATTTGATTCCAACATTTTCATGGAACTAGAGAGTGTCCACAATAGCTAAATTATTTTGAACAAAAAAGATTAAAGTTTAGGAACTTAAACCACTTGATTTGAAGACTTATTATAAAGCTACCGTAATCAAGACAATGTGGTATTAGTGTAAAGACAGAAGTATAGATCTGCGGGACAGAATAAAGGGTTCTAAAAAGACATACACATATAAACAAAGGTGCCAATGAAACAGACATACACAGATACGATAATTTGATTTTCAGCAAAGGTGCCAAAGAAATTCAGTGGAAAATGGATGACTTTTCAGCACTGTGCTTGAACAGTGAGACATCTTTTTGCAAAGAAATAAACCTTGCCTCCTTATAAATCTAAAAAAAGCTTACATCAAAATGGATCATAGACCTAAATGTAAAATCTAAAACTATGATACTTCTAGTCTGTGTCTTTTGATTGGGGCATTTAGGCCATTTACATTTAACATTAATATTGTTATTTGTGAATTTGATCCTGCCATTTCAGTACTAGCTGGTTGTTTTGCCCGTTAGTTGACGCAGTTTCTTCATTGTGTTGTTGGTCTTTACCACTTGGTACGTTTCTGCAGTGGCTGGTACTGGTTGTTCCTTTCCATGTTTAGTGTCTCTTTCAGGAGCTCTTGTAAGGCAGGCCTGGTGGTGACAAAATCTCAGCAACTGCTTGTCTGTAAAGAATTTTATTTCTCCTTCGCTTATGAAGCTTAGTTTGGCTCGATATGAAATTCTAGGTTGAAAGTTCTTTTCTTTAATGATGTTGAATATTGGCCCCCAATGTCTTCTGGCTTGTAGGGTTTCTGTCGAGACATCTTCTGTGAGTCTGATGGGCTTCTTTTTGTGGATGACCGGACCTTTCTCTCTGGCTTCCCTTAGCATTTTTTCCTTCATTTCAACCCTGGTGAATCTGACGATTATGTGCCTTTGGGTTGCTCTTCTTGATGAATATCTTTGTGGTGTTCTCTGTATTTCCTGGATTTGAATATTGGCCTGCCTTGCTAGGTTGGGGAAGTTCTCCTGGCTAATATCCTGAAGAGTGTTTTCCAACTTGGCTTCATTTTCTCCCGTCACATTCAGGTACACTGATCAAGTGTAGATTAGGTCTTTTCACATAATCCCTTATTTCTTGGAGGCTTTGTTCATTTCTTTTTGCTCTTTTTTTCTCTAATCTTGCCTTCTCATTTTATTTCATTGAGTTGATCTTCAATCTCTGATATCCTTTCTTTTGCTTGATCAATTCGGCTGTTGAAACTTGTGTATGATTTGTGAAGTTCTTGTGCTGTTTTTCAGCTCCATCAAGTCATTTATGTTCTTCTCTAAGCGGTTTATTCTCATTATCATTGCATCTAACCTTTTTTCAAGGTTCTTAGCAGTTAGAATATGTTTCTTTAGCTCAGAGAAGTTTGTTATTATGCACCTTCTGAAGCCGGCTTCTGTCAATTCCTCAAACTCATTCTCCATCCTGTTTTGTTCCCTTGCTGGTAAGGAGTTGTGATCCCTTGGAGGAGGAGAGGCATTCTGGTCTTTGATGATTTTATCCTGTTTGTGCTGGTTTCTTCCCATCTTCATGGATTTATCCACCTTTGATCTTTGAAGTTGGTGATTTCAGATGGGGTCTCTGAGTGGACATCACTTCTGTTACTGTTGAAGTTATTTCTTTTTTTTTTTTATTTTTCTTTCTAACAGTCAGGCCCCTCTGCTGTAGGACTGCTGTAGGTCCATTCCAGACTCCGCTTGCCTGGGAATCACCTGTGGAGGCTGCAGAACAGCAAGAGTTGCTGCCTGATCTTTACTCTGGTAGCTTTGTCCCAGAAGGGTACCCACCAAGTGTCATGATGCCAGAGCTCTTTTTGTTTTGCAGAGGTCAGGGAATGGCTTGAGGAGGAAGTCTGCCCCTTGTCTGCCTGCAGAGGTGCTGCTGGGCTGCCATGGGCTCAGTCCAGCTGCTGTGTAAGCTTCCTCTGGCTTTTGTTTATACAGGTAAATCAGCTGTGGTGGGCACCCTTCCCCCCACTGAGCTTGATCATCCTGGGTTGAGCTCAGACTGATGTGCTGGCTGCAAAACTCTCAAGCAAGAGGGCTTCAGTTTGCTGATCTTTGTAGGGGTGGGACCCACCATGCTGTATCACCTGTCTCCCTGCTTTCAGCTCTCCCTCTTTCTGGGGAGCAGGAAGTTCCGTCTCGCAGGCACTCTTGGCTCTAGTCAAAATGTCTGCCCTGATCTGTGCTGACAACCCGTGGTGCTGACTGGGGCTGCCACTGAGATCTGTGCTGGTAACTCATGGTGCTTTTTAGCCCAGTGGGGATCTCCTTGTTTGTGGGTTGCAAAGGCCATGGAAGAAGTGCAGTATCTGAACTGGGGTACTGGAGGGGAAGAGTCCCCAATCCTCTGGCTAGTTGTACTTCCCAAGTGGGGCAGTGCCCTGCCCGGCCTCAAATTGCCCTCCTTGGGCCACACGTACTGTCCACCAGTCCCATTGAAATGAACCTGGCATCTTGGTTAGAAATGAGGAGATCGCTCACCTTCTGTGTCGCTCTCGCTAGGAATTATGCTCCAGAGCTGTTCCCATTTGGCCATCTTGGCAGACAACTATGACACTTCTAAAAGAAAAACATAGAGGAAAATCTTCTTGATCTTGAGTTATGCAAAAATAAGACACAAAAATCCCTTTTAAACAATAA